GGGGAATGCGGGATGTATCTACATAGACAGGCTTGTCACTATTGATCGAAACCCTAGATGGATGGCTACTATTACTATCACTCGACCCCACACTGCTATTGTTACTCGACATTATACTAATTCAAAAAATAACTTAAAGGCTCGAACTCTTACCTTTTCAGACGATCGCTCACTAACGCACAATCCTCGAACTCGAGCTCGATTTTACTAAGAGTATTGAGGGTGAAAAGTGAAAAATGAATGGTGAAAGTTGGGGTATTTATAGGAGATTGTAGAATACTAACGGTCTTTTAATCTCAACCCTTAGACCAAGAAACGTGGCAGCCATCTAAGGTCAATTTTTGACATTCCATCAAACGCGTGACACGTGGAACGACACTTGAAAATTTATACCTCTACATCTTCACTCGTAGATCAGGCTTGGACCATAATCTACGACCTCGATGCACGGGGGCCTGTGACGATCCCATCATTAGCGAGTCATGAACTCGACCACGTAACCCCGAACTTAACCTCCCTCTAAACCACCAAATTAAGGTCGGGGCTCTATGTCATCATGTCAGTCCTTTTTGACGACCTATAGGAACACAAATTCTACCCAACCTACAATTCTTGCCTTATTAGATTTCCTCTTCAACTCAAATTCAAGTGGAACACTTGGAATAAAATACGAACGCCTTATCCTATGAGGATAAGGACTACACATGGATAAGTCATTCTACAACTTTATCATCAACACCTATAAATACATGACTCAGGCTCATCCATTAGGTACGTTTTTCATTATTTCCAGTTCATAGCCTCACGTACTAAACTCCCTATCTAACTTAAGCATTGGAGGGGCGATCAAGTGTTCAAAGACAGTTCGTGTTCATTCAGGTTCGTCTAAGCTTGGAGGTCGATTATCTAGTTCGAGATCTTTCAGGTACAATTTTTTGGTAGCATCAGCCACCATTTTTTTCCCAAAGGAATTGTGCTTCGCCTACCCCAATTGCTCAGGTATACTTCCACTCATTCGTTTGGTATAGTTGATGAGGCATGAGAGTAAAGAAAGTGTAGTTATCCAAATGCTCCCGAATCAAGAACCCAACCATTGCCAAGTAGATAGTGAGCACAGTTGGGACCAAAATCGAGCTAAAAATTAAAGACAGTGGTGTCGTGAGAGCAAGCAAGATAAGGAAACCAATAAGAGTCAGCCCAACAAGGCAAAGGAGAGTGTCGCCTATTAGTAAAAGAGTGACCACCGCCAAGACTTGTGAGATTGACGGATGATCCCCCTTCTCCGTCTGATGGTTCTGCTAAAAGGGGTGGGATGGGTTGGCGAAGGATAGAAGAAACAAATAGAGACAACCTTTTATTTTGGGAGAATTGTTGAATACGGGTTTGGAATGAGATCCTATGATATTGAAGGCAAAACAAGCGACGATGGTTGGTGGGATGGATGGCGGAGACCGCAAAGTGGGTGCGTGGGTTCTTGTTTTTGGTTTTGAGTAGGGTGGTTGGAGAAGAAGTGGTGTTTTTTTTTTATTATAGAAAATACACGTTTATTATTTTAGCCCCTGTTTGTTTTCCATTCTTTTCCCATTAAAATGAAAAAAATGATCATTATCCATCACTTTAAGCCACCAAATTTGAATTTCTATCTCTTGTGTGGGGTTTATAATTGTTATATTTTTCATTATCATTCATACAAAAATGAAAAACAATCGGGACCTTAATTTTTTAAAATTAATCAAAGTTTGGTCACATCATTGACTTTTAGTAAACTAACAATTTCCATTCATTTGAATTTCGGTGCAAATGGTAAAAAGATTTGGTACAATGAGTGACACAAATAAAATACGGAGAATTTACCAAAATGTCACTTTTTTTGAAAATGCACAAAAAAATTTACAAAAATGTCACTTTCTTGTTGTCAAATGTCTAAATTACCCTTAATTTGACTTTTTTGGAGCATTTAATGCTCCTTCATGATTGTTTTTCAAAACAATTAATGTTGTGATTTGATTGTTTAATTTTGTATATTATAATCATTGAAAATATGAGTATTACATTGTAAAATACGAATTTAGTTAATAAAAAATGAATATAAAATCCTTCAAAACCTAGTTAACATTAAAGAACAAATTTATTGTCAAACATACCCTTATTTCATTCATCTTCTTCATCCATTTTCTTCTTCCTGAAAACGACATTACTTCATCAATCTTCTTCATCTATCTTGAAAGGTCAGTTGTTACGAATTGTTCATATTTCTATGTAATAGCTTACTTTTTTTTATAATGTTAAAAACAACATGATAGTCTTGTTTTTTTAATATTGTTGAAGGAAAAACATACCAAAATAATTTGGAAAATGTGAAGTATTCCATATTTAATGAAGCATTCAGTCATTTATTTCTGGAAATAGGTTGTGATGTTGTAGTTGAGAAATGATTATAAACATTAATGCTACCAGACACATTTGAAACTTCTCGGCAGTTCCGACACTTGAACC